TAAAACTTGTTCACAACTGTAATTTTGTGCAACAAGGTGTTCTCAATCGCCAACAGTTTGCTTTATTGTGTTGTAAATATATATAGATATTTGTATCTATCGCTAACTGGGCAATTAGTTGGTGTTGTTAACGTTGTTATTAACATTTTTGTTTTCTTATTGATGATCGAGCAAAACTCAACCATCGGAGCAACTGGTTTGGTTCCGCTTTCGAAAAGTTTCCCCTTCCTTGTCTTCGTCAACGGCTGAAATTTTCCCTTGACTCCCCTGCCTCCGGGTGGTATTCTTTTAAAATTTTTAATTTCACATTTTTTGCTAAATCATCCATACGTTTTGGCTATTAACAATATTTTAAATTTTTACCAACATAGTTGTGTATTTTTACTAATTTTCTCTTTTCTTCTGTCTCGTTACAGGTAAATATCGAACGGTGCACAAATTGGCAACTTAAGGCCACGACTCTCAATCAAAAATTACTTGTTAGTGAGTGCTCACTGTTCATTTGGTTTTTATGCTTGCTGCTGGGCTTCAAATTAAAATGCCAAAATCGTAACCAGTGGGGTCCTAAGATTCAAATTGATTAGTGGTTCACTGAAAAGATTTTCTGACTGCCAAGAAAAGGAATTTCTTAATCGTGGGTTGAGCAATTCGGACAAACGTTTATTTATTTATTATATATGGAAAATATTGGCAAGTCGTAGCTATTTCCTACACAAAACTTCTGAACTTCTTTTGGAATATTTTTATGACATAAAGAGCAAATTTGTTAGACAAGTAATAGCAATCAGTTTCAGTAATACCATACAGCATTTTTGAGCCAACTACATGGTAATGTGTATCATTATTGACAAGTAATAAGACTGTTACTATTTTAAGTATGACTCAACTTGAATCGATTTTTGAACTCATATTAAATTGCTGAGTTGCTAAATTGCTAACTTTGCTTAAGGAACTTATCCACATTGTTGTGGGCAGCATGGAGTTTTCATTGGAAACGTGTGAAATTGCAAATCCATGGAAAGTTTCGCTGAGTAGTATCACCTTTCTCAGTATCTTTCCCCGCACCTTTATCTGTTGGATTATGTAGATTTTCATGCGGCACGTCAGTGGCTCATTTGCATGCAATTATTTTGCTGTTCCCCCGATGGAAAAACTTCAACCCTTGGGTGGGCGGATATCGGGATATAGACAAATTGTGACATGTACTTCAGCTTCAGTTACAATATTGATGCCTCTTCGCCTTGTAATTTCTCATTCATCTTCAATGGGCATTTAATCAAGCTGTGAATTCGACTCCCAAACTTCAATGACAAATGCATGCAACCATAAAAAAAAATGTTGAAAAAAATAATCAAGTCGAAGATAAGGATAGGACCAGAATAAAAAAAAAAATGGTAAATGAAATGAAATTACTGAACAGAAAAATGGGATGGAAAGGAGCGGGAATTGAGGGGAAAAAAATGCAAATGGTGAAATTTTAAACCCTTGAATGGGCCCGCCATTGTCTTTGATAGTCGGCGGGAAAGTACGGGAAGCGGTCCACGGGGTGTGGCAAAAAAAAAAAAATAGAAGGAGGAGGATGGGGTAGCATCCTGGGTTGCCCATTTGCCAACTGGGCTGTAAGTAAGCGCATTTTTACCGATTTTTTTTCCAAGCTTCTGCTGTTGTTGTTTTTGCTCTTCCTTCCGCTCATTTGTCTCTGCATGAAAATGTCCGCGATTTTCTCCTTTCTGTGTGTGTATGTGTACTTTTTTTTTTTTGGTTGTGCTTTTAATTGTATTTAGTTACATTAGTAATTATCGATTTTTCCTGGGCTTGTGTTTTTAGCTAGGATTGGGTACTGTACCTGATGCCAAATGGCAGGAAGGGCTTAATTGTTTGATGATGTTAGGGGTGAACGGAAAACATTCAAAGGTTAATTTTTTAAAAGTAAGGAATACAGAATACAATAAATAAAACGAAAATAATGTTTGAAATTACTTACATAATGATGTAGAGTAGGCAAAATAATGATACCAATTTACTTATAGTGTTTAATTTAAAATAAAAGTAATTCCTCAGTATTATTTATTTAAATATAGTTTAGAAAGATCAAAATATAAGTGTATTATTTATTAATGACAAGAATAACAATTGATTAGTTAATTGATTATTAATAACAGGAATAACAATGAATTCACAGAATAATTTGTCTCATTAATACTTAAACAAATCATTTTAAACTATAATAGATAAAGACAAATTAATTTTTATCCTATTCACAATATATGGGATATTGTTAAATTTAATAAGCAATACATAAATTGCTTTACTAACTTTTAAAAATAGTTCCCTTCTGCAATTAATTACCGTTTTTTTGCATTTTGGTTGCCTCTCGAATCATTTATGGCTTCGACAGATTTGGCCTCTTTGATCAAGGTTTTTGCATTTCTCCCCCTTCATTCTATGCGATTCTTGTTCACTAACCATTTCCAGTCATTTTTTTTTTTTTGCTCCACGTGCTTGTTACTCTGGTTGTCAGCCGGTCTCGCTTTTCAATTATGCCTGACTGGTCCTGCACTCCGTTTTAGCCCAGAGAGCTGAAGCGGTCCGAACTGAACTTGCCATTGTGCCATTTAAGCTATATATCACTCATACGCAGCATTGGCGCTTTATTTTCATGCACTAATTGCGTTAGAATTTCAATAGGAATATGAGATATAAACCACCATCCCCATCCTATACTCCACGTTCTGAACTCTCTCTTTGATTTGACTTTGGCACATGAAGAGTTTTTAATTGGAATTTGCAGTGGGAGATTATCAAAACCAGGCAAGGGGCAGTGATTTTTCTTTGCTCTTCTCCTTTGATTTTTTCTTTTTTTTGGGTAGCAGCTCTTGGATACATACGTATATATACCTGCCCAATGCCAATTTTTTTCTTGAACTTCCGCGCCAAGACTTTGCCACGCAGCCTTTTTTTTTCCAGGGTTTGTGTGTATTGCTTTACATAAGACCCGGACAGTCCGGAGAAGTCCAAAGTCCGGGTGTGCCCTCACGGCCATTAGAGCGCTCTGTGCTCTGTCGTTGTCGTAATTAAAAACAAGGAAAATTCTGCACGGAGAAAAAAATGTGCCAAGAAGGCGGATTGTGAGATTGGGTCGCCTTGGGTTCTCGTCGACCACCACCACCTACCTTCCATCCACCCATCCATCCATCCAACCCGCTTTCCTTTTGCCGCAATTTATTTAAATTCTCTGTGCCGAACTCTTTTGCTCTTTCTTAATTTCTTCAGCCCTTTTCTTTTGTACTTGTTGTTTTTAATAAAGTGCGCTGGACACAGCGCTAAAGAAAAACAAAAAATAAAAAAAAAGGGACCAAGAAAAAGCTGAGAAAAAAGTTGCGTAAATTTGTTATGTACTTTTTTCTTTTAAATAAATAAATATGGGTACGAGGAGAGGAGAGTCTTCTTGGCGTTGATGAGCAGAGCGACCACCGCCCACCCACTCATATATATCCAAGCAATCATGCATCCTTTCCTGACGGTGCACCCCATCCTCTTGGTCTGTAGTTCCGTTTCCGGCGCCTGCCATTTGCATCTACAGCAGAAAAAATTTCTTTCATTTATTCGAAGGATTCTTCATCCTCAACCCCCTCCCCAATTTTGCAGATTCTTTTTTTTTTTTTTTTTTTGCTGTCGAAGAAGAAAAGATTTTTTCCTCTTTTTTAAAACACACAAACTGGTGGACGGCGGCGACGACGACGGGTCGACCCAAGGGGTGTGGTGGGCAGCATTTCTTTGCGGCTTGAGCGAACCGAAAGAACGGGTACACAAATTTCAACCTACTCAATTTTTGCCTTAATTTCTTTTCTGTTTCGCCAGGAGACCTCAGGCCACCGAAGCCATGCCCATGTTCATGTCCATACCATCCCAAATCCTACCCAGCTCCCCAGTTCCACTCCCATCTCCACCTTCTTTGCAAAGGCGGTAATAAGAATTTTTTCTTCGCTGCCGGAGTGTGCGTGAGCCGTAGTGTTTTTTCCGTATTTTTAATTTAAAATGCGAAGCATGGAAAAAAATATATATATGTATAAAAATGGTGAGGGGTGGGAGCAAGGGAAGGTGGAGGAGGGTGGAGGGCTTTTGCGCACTGCTTAAAAGAAAAACTTCTGAAGTAAATATTTGTCTGTCCAATTGCTGCGGCGACTGCCAACTGCAACGGATTGGGTTCGGAACGGGGGTGGTAGGTAGCTGCTGGGTGGCAGTGGGTGTTCAATGGGGACTTGAATGTGGGCGTTGTCGTTGGCATTGGCGATGGCGACGGCGACGGCGAAAGTGTTGTTGGACGGGTTGGGCATCGGACACTGCTGTGGACACTGGTGACCGACCATGCCAAGACAAGCGACGCCGTAATGACTGTCACAGCGCTCCATGGACAAACACAAGACACCACCCTCTCCATGCCTCCATGTCAACATCCCAAAAAAAAAAAAAAAAAAAAATTTAAAAAAAAAAAAAAAAATGAACAAATTTCCATCACCTAAGCTCTGTTATGTATTCCCCCGGGCGGGCGTCTCTCTGGCGGAGTGGGTGCGGCACTTTGGAACGCTTTCAACTATCCGATATAGCCTATTTTTCAATCAAATCACCGTATTCCATATTCAGTGTGTGTAAATTGCCAAGGGAAACGCACTGTACAGCCTTGGGGGAAATTGGAGATGTGATATATGTAGGTATATAAGGGATATATATATATATATAGGATATGTTATCCTTGAAACGGGGCAACTAGCCATTGTATCCGATATAGAGTGAGTTGTATAAAACCCAAATAAGAATTGGTTATAAAAACAAATGATTTGAACTAGGTTTATACTGTTTTATTTATAATTACAAAATCTGTTATTGCATTATTTGTGAGCCTAGAATAACACACTGGACTAAGACGTTCAGAAAAGCTTCCCTAAAATAATTTTAAACATGTTGACTAATATATTTTACCCCTCTTCGATTATTTCTAGGGCCTCTTACGCACCGCCGAGCAGCTAAAGATCAAGGGCCTCTGCGAAACCGCCGAGAACGCGGATGACCTTAACGACGCGGCCACAGCAACAATCACCGTTTCGGAGAACATTCAGCAGGCGGTCGTTGGTAATATTGTGAATGCCACCATAGTTCCCGGAGCTCCGTCGCCCTCCTTGGAACAACAGCAGCAGCAGCAACACCACCAGCAGCAGCAGCAACAACAGCAGGCACAAGAGCAGCATCAGCAGCAACAGCAACAGCAGCAGGTGCATGCCCAGCAGCAACAGCAGCAGCAGCAGCAACAAATTAACGCTGCCCTGCTGACGCAACACGGAGTGCCCGGCGGAAGTGTATCCCTATCCGGACAGTTGCTAAGCTCCTCGGCCAGCGGCAGCAGCGGAAGCTCGGCCGGCGGACAGCAACCACCACAGACGCCATCCGGTTTGCAGCCGACGCCACGCAGGTCTCGACTCAAGCGCTCCAAATCGCCGGACTTGCCAACGGGCGGAGGAGCAGGAAGCTCTGGAGGCTCGAGCAGTTCATCGTCGCAGCAGCAGCAGCAACCCCAGCCGGCGCATCACCACCACCCGCAGACCATACTCATCCAGGGCCAAAATCCCAATTCTATTGTGAGCCTGCAGCAGACGGCCGACGGCAATTATATACCCGTGTCGGCAACAGGAGACGATTCGGACGTCGAGGATCACGATCACGAGCACGAACACGGCCACGGACACGGTCACGGAGGACATCCGCACGGACACGGACACAGTCACGATCACGAGCACGAGAACAAGCCGAATAAGATCTGCAAGACCGAGCAATCGGTGGCCTCGCCGGCGTCCAATTCATCCAGCGCCTCAAACAATGCAACAGCGGGCGTGAGCGGCGTGACATCCACCGGCCAAGCCATCGTCACACAAATTGTAGTAGCGCGCGACGGAAAAGATACAAAAAATATGACTAGTTTAGGCATGGGCATGGTAAGTTGGTTAGCTAGTTTGGTTTTAGTTAGCACACAGCATTCACTCTCAGTTAGCCAGAGATCGATCGTCGATCAGGTCGATCTCCTCAGGCATAATGAACACTAGTTTGCTAACCTCTCATTCCTATCTCTCTCTCCACCCCGAATCTGGATTGCATGCAGAACGGCGGCCTGTTGGGCGTGCCCATGGGCTTCCTGGACTTCACACCCGAGCCACCAGCACCATCCGCCACCCCAGTCACCGTTACGGAGCACGTCGATCTGTCCTGCAACCCCAGCACGGACACGCGCGATCTATCAAGTGAGTGATCGGTAGTGTAGCCAGCGGTCTAACGCGGTACCATTCCCAAAGTCTTGTGAGAGAGACCAACTTATATGGTTTTCAATTTGCCTTCCAACAGATCCCACCGAACCGCTCGATATAGACAATCATCTGGCCCAGCAGATCCATCGGCTCGATCAGTCCCCCATGCACTCGATATCGCATCACCACACCGGCGATGAAAGCAACTCCAATCTGGTGCAGCACATCAAGAGCGAGGTGATCGAGGCCAAGCACCTGGCAGCTGCCCAGCAGCATGCCCTTAGCCAGGCCCAGCAGCAACATGCCCATCACCAGGCCCACCAGCAGCAGCAGCAGCAGCAGCAGCACCAACAGCATCAGCAACAGCAGCAGCAGCAACAGCAGCAACAGCAGCAGCAGCATCTCCATGCCCAGCAGATGTTGGCCCAAAGTCAGGCCCAGTTGCAGCAACAACAGCAGCAGCAGCAACAGCAACACCACCAGCAACAACAACAGGCCGCAGCAGCGGCAGCAGCTGGTGTGCACGGCCAGCATGGGGGACATGTGACGCACGCCGACATCGGCGGTGCCACAGTCATGGAGATTGATCCGAGCCAGATTAAACACGAGCCGGGCATGATAATAACGCCAGAGATTGTCAACATGATGTCCTCAGGGCATATGGGTGAGTTGTGCGTCAGAAAATTGAAGATTCCTCGTCTCAGCCCGAAAATTACTCTTAAAATGCCGATTGCTTAAATTTCTTCATCCCGGGTTGTAAAAAACTATCTTAAAATATAAATTATATTTCATTTAAACACTCTTAAACGATAAATCTTAATTGTCAATTAAGAAATTATATAAAATATTCGATTTTAAAACCTTTAGAAATGTTATTAAAATTTGAATGGATTAAAGAAAAGAAATGTAAATATGAAATAGAAGAGAAGTTAGTATTCCAAAAATAAATTAAAATTTGTAATTTTGTATCGAGTAATGATAAATGTGTGATAAATTTTATGTGGTTATTACTGAGTCAATATGATTTGTGAACCGCATCATAAGAATCATTTAGAGGCCACATGATTTGAACACTGTTAAACCGTGTACCAAGTAAATTAATACTAATAAACTACATATTTAAATCATTTTCAGACATGTACAATTCGGACACGAGCGAGGATTCGATGATGATCGCCAACGGCTCGCCGCATGATCAGAAGGAGCCGCACTATACGAATTTGGACCAGCAACACGGTCTGGGTGGCAGCGTTTGCGGCCCGGGGCCCGGCGGTGCTGGTGGTGGTGGGGGCATGAGTGGTGGTGCTGGCTCTGGCTCTGGCGAGAAAGGTCAGTTTAATGGTCCCAAAGCTTGGACACAAGATGATATGAATTCAGCTTTAGATGCATTAAAGAACCAAAACATGAGCCTGACGAAAGCGTCCGCCATTTATGGCATCCCATCGACCACCCTGTGGCAACGTGCTCATCGCCTGGGCATCGAAACGCCCAAGAAGGAGGGCGGCACCAAGTCGTGGAACGAGGATGCCCTGCAGAATGCCTTGGAGGCGCTGCGTTCGGGTCAGATATCCGCGAACAAAGCGTCCAAGGCCTTCGGCATCCCCTCCTCGACGCTCTACAAGATTGCCCGGCGCGAGGGCATCCGCCTTGCGGCGCCCTTCAATGCCGCCCCAACCACGTGGACGCCCGAGGATCTGGAGCGTGCCTTGGAGGCGATACGGGCGGGTAATACCTCGGTGCAGAAAGCCAGCGCTGAGTTTGGCATACCCACAGGTGAGTTGTCCGCGAATCCAGTCCGGATATCGGATTATGGTCTCCACTTCTCCACTTCGTCGTCGCTTTGCCCTTTAAATTTACGCTTCGTAGTTTATGCGTATGCAGCCTACAATATATGAATAGGAATTCATTCTTAAATGTCCCAAGGGACCAAGAATTGGATGCAATGTTAGTTTTAAGTATCCGCTTAACGGATTGCAACTTGATGGCAATTTGGAAAAGTGATTTTCGAATTTTTCTCTCACTTTTGTAACCAAAAAAATGCCAGAAACTGAAAAAAACTGTGAAGCACTTTGCCTAGAACCCATTTTTCTCGCTTTTTGTCTGATTTTGCTGTGACTAATCCCCTTCTACCACTCCATCAACCGGCTCAAAGGAACACTTTACGGACGCTGCAAACGGGAGGGCATTGAACTGTCGCGTTCGAATCCAACGCCCTGGTCCGAGGATGCCATGAACGAGGCCCTGAACTCAGTGCGGTGAGTGCGTGCGAACTACTGGCGTCAATTAAGTCGCTAATCACCATTTCCGACACATATCCCCCACAGCGTTGGCCAAATGTCCATCAACCAGGCGGCCATTCACTACAACCTGCCCTACAGCTCGCTCTACGGCCGCTTCAAGCGCGGCAAATACGACGTGGTGGCCAACACGAGTGGCGTGGCGCTCCTCAACACCTCGGGCAACACCACCGGCAGCATTGAGATTATCGAGCACAGTCAGGAGAATTCGGTACGTAGTCACTCGGCAGCTGAAGAGCTAAAAGCATATGCAAAACGCAGTTCTGAAACCAATGTCTTTAAAAAAATGTAGACAAAAAATACTCTTATTTTTTATAATTCATTAATTTTTAACGCTTTAAAAGTTTCACATTTTTTAAACAAAACCATTTCGTTTCATCATTAATTTCGTTTACAACATAAACTAAATTGTTAAAGACAGCAATGTACCATTTATTTTGTCAAATAATATCTCGATTTTGTATAAAATTTTGTTTTAATGAATAAAGATGTAGTTATTGTCCCTTTTTCATTTTCAACTCCTCACAAAAACGCACTACACACAAATGCCAGCTTTGACTAACCGAGATAATCAATTTATTTATGCAAAGTTGCATATGTTACAGCAACAGTTCCCGTACAGCCCGTCGCCGCATCCGCCAACGCCGCAGCACCACAGCACGCCGCAGCATCACAGTACGCCGCAGGGTCCGCCGACGCCGCAGCACATGCAGCAGCACGTGGTGCACATGCAACAGCAGCAGCAGCAGCAACAACAGCAACAGCAGCAGTCGCCCCACCCGGGTCACCATCCGCAGCATATGCAGCAGGATGTGGTTACATCGAGCAGTCAGGTGGTGCACAGCCAACAGCAGCAGCAGCAGCAACAGCAGCTTCAGCAGATCTATCAGCATCACGGCACGCCGGAGCGTAGTTGAGAATCACTGCATGCTGCGGCAATAATGGGCAGCACCGGTGGTGGAGGAGGTGGTGGAGGAGGAGTAGGAGTAGGAGGAGCCAGCACTAGTGGCAGCACAGCGGCTAGTAGCACACCCTTTGCCAGCATATCGGCACTGGTCAGCGGACCGAGCAGTGCACCACCACCACCACCACCATCATCATCGGTGGCTCCCAGTGGCTCGTCGACAGCCAGTGGCGGCACCAGCAAGCGCAAGAAAGCCAACAAGCAAAAGCGTTGAGAGCAGGAGCAGGATCAGCCACACGATAAGTTGCAATTGCAAACAATTGCCGGAGTGGCCAGACCCGGGGACATTAAGTTTAGATTTAATTGCAAGCACTGGAAGCGCAAGCTGCGCCAGTTTCATTTGCTATTGTCCAAACAGTAGTCAATCAGTCAGTTAAGGAAGTTATATGAATGACCCACAGACAACAAATTGCCAAGGGTAGAGGGCAGCAAACCAATCACAAAAAAAAAAAAAAAAAAAAACAAAAAACACTTTTCAACTAGATGGACATTAATTACACAATCGAGATGTGTATAAAATGTAAATATATAACGAAATATGCTTTATCTACATTATACGGAAAATAGTTATATAGGTAATAGGTTTGCAAAAGTCCTTTGTTTTAGCCAAGTAAGTTGGAGCTGAGAGAGAAAGATATACACATGCATAGATCGTAAGAGAAAAATGAATTTTAGATTTGCCTAGGCTCGAAAGAAAATGAATTCGTTTTGGGCTCGCAGTTTTAAGAGCACTTTGTTATCAATGGACATGGGACACGCGTTTTTATTGATGAACTCGTAACCATTCTAAGAACATTTAACTAGGAGCTAAACGTGGAATCCCGATTTCAGATTTCCTCCCCCTTCTTCTGCGTTTTGTTACAAATTTCGCTTAGTGTGAGACTGAAAGTGCGCCTAAAACTGTAGAAGAAACCCAAGCCCAAAACTATAGTGAAAACGCATACAAAACAAACCCATATATGAATCAAATGCTTTATAACCATATTGTTTGAACGAAAAGAACGAAGGGGAGAATACCTTAATGTAGAATTAAACCAAATTATCAAGGTCCTAGAAATTAAACTCATTAGCATGTAATGACAACTGCAAACAGATCAGATAAGAGAGAAAATTAAGAGTTATTTGAATTTAACTGGAGGCGCCGTGAATCAACCAATATTGATTTGATTTCAACTGAAATAAGAATATAGCCAATACATAATTGTAGACATGAAGTAACTGCAAGAAAACAACCCATGGAATGTATTTTTGATAGAAGCAGAAACAAAAGCAGCCGAAATTAGCAAATCGAACTGCAATTGTTATTAATGTTAAGCTCTAAATAATGTCCTTTCGGAATCACATTCAAAACAAAGATTTAAAGCAAGTATGTAAGAGAAATCAACCAATAAATACACGCGTATATATATGGATGCATAAAAATCTCTAAGTGAACTGTAAAATTTTTAGTGTAGCAGCGAACGAGTGTAGTAATAATAAACCATCTTTCTTTAAAGAACACTTTATTCAAGCGGCTTTATGTTGCCCCACGAAGGAAAGTTGATATAATAGTATCTATATCAAAAATCGGAAATAAAATCTACAAGGAGAAAAAATACATTCAAAATTTTGAAACTAGAAATTTAAAAAGAAAAAAAATGTATAATAGCTTCCACTAGCGTATCTACATAATTAGGAAACGAGGAAAGGATACTCTTAACACCCATCTGAAGTAACTTCAACTATTTTTTGGTTTCATCTCAACTATACGTGTGCGGAGAACACTTGAAAATCTTTGTAAATACATTTGAATAATTTCTTTAGTTGTTAGTTGTCCTAGGGGAACAGGTATCTGAAAATTACAAAATCAAATGTTGCAAATTAATTTATTTTAGCGTTATAGACCCGTAGAACTGAATGCAATATGCTTACCTTAAACTCAACATAATTTAATTCTATTCCTATTATCTTTAGTTGGATTCATTTTAATGTTTTATAGCAAAACTGTATATCATTGTAAATTAATTAACGCATACAAAGTAGCATCTACAAGAGTTAAATCAACAATAAAACAAAAAATATCATTATAACCTTGTTAAAATTGTCGCAAGAGCAATTAAAAAATGAACCCAGCAACTTGAAGAAGAATCGAAAATGAAGGCGAATCACAGAAGAGTAAAAATAATAAAATATAACATTTTAAATTTTAAGCTAACTAAATGTGTAAGAGTAACCTTTAACCATACAATATTATAGCACATTTTGGATTATCAAATATGCATATACAGCAAATATCTATTATAAACGGTAAATGTAAACCCAAAAAGAAACACTGAAACAATCTATGTAACAGCCGAAATAGCAAAAAACCCATGTAATAAACAAACAACATTTAATGTAATATTGGTATAACGTAATTTTTAAAGTGAGGTACTATAAATAAAAATTATTAAATAATATTAAATACTTTTCATTTCATCTGAAATGCAGTTTTATTATATTTGGGCATGGAATTATTTGTATACGATTTGTTAGCTTTTAAATAAGAATTGACAGCCAGTATAAATGAACATTAAACAAATATTAAAAAAAAAATGTTATGGTTTTTGTTAGCAATTTGTATGTCTTTCGTTAATTTGAGAAATTACTATTAAAACAAACATTTTGATTTTACTATTAAATTCGATAGAATGGTAAATGTCAAGAATAACTCTTTTAATAATTTTTGCATGCAAAATATCTTACACAAAATAGACATATTTAAAACAAATTTTTTTTTTTTTTAAAAACAAATCACATTGTATTAATTGTTTTTCCTGTGTATAAATGGTCATTGATTAAGATGTTTTTGGCGCTCAATTTTTAAACTTTGTTTATGTTGGCTATCCAAGCATTTAAGCTCCGTCTCTGTAAACCTGATCTTGGCTCAAGGGTATTGTTTTGGCCAGTAATGTTAGCAGAGCTTTTCTGTTAGGCCGATACCAATTAGAGGTTCTCCGCTCAGCTGGCGCATGCTCTCCCACATGTTGGACTTATTTTGTGACCGTGCTCACCTAGAAGCGGATGATGCCAGTCAAAGTTTTGCTTCCCATGTGAACGGTGTGGTCTGGTGTTTTCCGCGTTTCCAATCGTCTGCGCCGCTTCTTTCGCTACGCAGAAGATTTTTTACCAAGAAAAGAAGAAACAAAAAAGAAGCAAAACCAGCACTCTTCTCTAGCTTCAAGAAAAAAAAAAGACAAGGGAATTTATCAACTCTTGAAAAGTATTTTGTAAGTCTTGGTTAACAAAAAAAATTGCGAAGCTTTCGTGTTTAATGGGAAATCCTCCTTATCAGTGCCTAATGAGCCAATTGATTAATCAGCGTTTAATCTGTTTATATTTGAATTAAATCAACTCAATTGAAAGTGATGAGCTTATTAAGTGATAGTGATTTGGTGTGCGTTCTAATTGAAAGTGAAATTGAAAATTTACTTTATTCCTCGCAAAATATGCTTGTACATATTAATATAGCGGATATGTCAATTGAAAAACTCGCATGATAGCAAACTTTTTGTGAAAAACAAGAGTGTGTGTTGAATTAGTAATGATAGATAGAAAAATTGGTGGGGGGGATTATGTTAAATCGGGGTAACGAAAGCACGGCCCAAAAGTTAACTGCATAAACAGTTTATTTTTATATGCCAGAGGACAGCTGCAAGTTCAAGTGTACAAAACTCGTAACCCCCATAAAATTACATTACGCATGATACACACAAACACACACATATACATATGTATATATATACATATATATAAATATAGGTATATGACGTGGTGTGCGAAAGCCCCTTCGCTCAACACGTTCTAAAATATTAAGTTAAAAGACAACAGCAAAAATAAGAAAAACACGCAACAATAATAACAGCTACCAAACAACGTGCTTATTAAGAGAGTCCAGAGAGAAATTATGAATATTGAGGAGAGACGCGCTAAAAAGCAGCCCCCACAAAAAAGCTTCCTCTCTCGCGATAAAGTCTCTCTCAAACACAGCTGATTGTCAGAATCATAACGGTGTATGGGTAGTTTTGGCCTCAAATACCCCTACATAGCCCACTCGTAACCCCCCTTTAATCACCCCTTTTGTTTTTACAACAAGTGCCGCTCTTGGCGAGAAATTGTTTGCTAATGTTTGCCATGTTTTTGGCCATTTGAACTTGGCACCAAATAAGTGGGTCTAGGGTACTCACAAGGAGTGTGACCGCATTTCGGGGTCTTCTCTAGGTTTGCTTGACCTTCAAGTCTTTCGAATTTATTTCGTTTCAAAAATAAACAAGCCAAATGAAATGTGTCATTTCAAAACTTCCTCTTTCGCGTGCTGTTTTGATCAAGTGGTTGATTATTAAATATGTACATAAAAACAACTGTGGAGGTGATGCTTTATGTACGTTTTTATTTAGTCATGTAATAGATGTTGTATTGCAAAAGTTTCAAATATTTAAATACTTTTTAATTTATTCAATTAAGGAGCTACACAATTTTAATAAAGTCCTTAATAATTAATGAAATGGTCGTTTATCCATTTTGTTATGTAATTAGTGTCAGTTATTATGCTACATGACCTTGATTTTGTATTTTACAAAGAATTTCTTTAATCTTTGGTTTCCGGTTTGAAGTGGGTACTTGAATTTTGACAACACAAAAACAGAATTGCCATTAACTTTGATTGATGTCCCATCAAGAAAAATTATGGCATTAAAAGCACAAATGGCTGTGTTACATGCTTCAAGATATGTTGATCAATTACCACGCAATTAAAAGCTTTGAATGGTTAAAAATAATTTTTAAAAAGCCGACTTAGAAGTTTCAGACTGTCGGTTGAAGAGCATTGGTAAGCTATACTAGTATGTAGTGATTTAATAGGCAGTCATGTACAGTGAAGGTGCGTGTGTGGATGAATACTTTGTTTGAAGATTAAACCCGAACTGGGTGGTGGGTTGTAAAATCGACCATCAATGTTTGTTACAGCTTTTAGCGCCAAAGTAGTGGATGATAGTAAAACCTTGCAAGGAAAGTGCCAAAGGACTTGGTACAGTCAAACTTCACTAAGTTGGTCCATTTATAGTCTTTATTGTTGCTAAGTGAAAAATAACGTATATTTTTAATATTTGACTTATTAAATTTCCTTTTAACTATTATGCTAATCTTTAGACAAATCCGTAATCCATAAACAATAAAAATTCTTCTTACTTCAAAACTCCCTTTGAAAAATAGCTTTTATCTTGTCTTAAGAACATTCCGTTATATAGTTGGGACCAAACCAACTTAAAGTAGTGTTCTGGCTGAAACTGTAGCTATGTTATACACTGAACCGTTTTTAATGTTAACCATAATTTGTATTAAGTTTATAAAGTTTAGTTTTTTAAAGTTAAGTTTAACTTGCTACAAAGTTCGAGTATGACAAGTTCTCCTGTATATTCTTTTTCCTTAATTATTCAATAAGTTTTTTACCTTTGCAGTTTGCTTGCATCCTACAACAAACCTCCAGAAAAGCTGTTGCTGGGGCAACCTCTACCGAACACCGGAAAAGGAAAAGAGCCAAGGGAGGAGGACTCACCGAGCCTTACACGCAAGTGAGTAAACAAGTGGCCTTAACTGGCATCCGTTAGGTGAAATTATCAATTATGCAATTAAAATGGGAGGTGGTAATTGCGACAGTTGAGTGTCTCAACTGAGAGTTGTTAAAACTTGCGCCCACTGCACTTATTGATCTAAATAAAATGTCAAGGCTAAAATAGTTGGAATGTGAGTTAAGAAGGCAAACTTTGATTCGTACAAATAATCATTGAAGAACCTTTAATAGTGCTACTAAAAATAGTTCTGAAAGGGTATTTAAATAGATAAAATAGCCTCGTGTATGGAAACCATATGTGTGATTTTGAATAAATGTTAAAATGCCCTTAATAATTTATTCCTGAGTTGCTGTTTGAGTTTCCGTTTTTCTCATTACACTTTTCATTTCCGTTTCCCGCAACCGAAATGAAAATGTTACAGGGCAATCAGACGTATACGTAATATGCTAATGAACTTTTGTTTGCCAACATGCTGGCGATAAATTCAGTACAAGCCCCAACCTTTTGGGCCCAACTGTTGCAAAAGTAACTTTTCGTGTGTGTGTAAATGTGTTTGCATCCGCAAACTAGGCATGTCCTAAGGTTGTCGAAAAACAAGCCAGGCGAAAGACTGTTCACTTCGCAGTCGACTCTCGACCTGCTTTATGGCTCAGCCTTCAGCCGATTGACCCTTAACCCTTGCCTAAGAGTGTCTCCCACCTGCCCGCATTTACCTTGCCGAAGAGTCAAGGACGTCGCAAACATACACTCATAGAAATTGCATGCCCGATTTCACCAATTGATTGCATGCAATTGTTTTTTCCTTCTACTTTCACTTGTCTGCTCATCCCCACACAAATCCTTAGCAAAAAAAAGCGAAACGAATGGCAATATTAAGTACGTGAATATCCTTTATCATTATTCAGGAGCCATTTCGTCTGGTTGGTTCAGAAGGGCAGCCCTTCAAAAAATGATTCCCATTTCAAATCCGACTTCAAATGTTGCACATTCGTAAATCAGGCCTGTCATGTCCAAATGCATATTTTATGTTGCTCTGATTTCACTTTTGAAATGTATACCCTTTCAGAAAGTATCTTATTAGATAGCAGTTCATAAAATAAACTTTTATATTTGTTAATTAAAATCTATGCCCAAAACCATTTTTTGGGGGAATCCCAAGAAATTCACTTCTTAAAAGACCCGGAAAAAAATTAATTACATTTTGAGAGAGTATTTGAAACTTCATTTGCTGAAGTTCGGCAAAATTTATTTATGGTTTCTGTTTTTTCTGCGCAAATACCGAAATGAGATTTTGCGGTTGCCACTCTGTATTCAGATGAATGTTTCTGAATGTTTCTGAATGAACGCTTGATGAGCATATTTAATGCAATTTGAAATGCGGTTCTGGGTAAACAGCACTTAGCTTAAATAGTAAATTAATTATGTTTGGCTCAGATGATTCAATTAGAATGAAACTCTGGCCAACAAAACATTGACATTGACATAAGCATGTTGTCATGCAAACATGAGAAAACAAACTGTGTTCGAAATTTAATTCAGTAAGAATTAATTAAGCCAATAAACAAAACAAAGTGCGGTCGTTATAATTTGATAGTCGACTGATTGGCTTCAATTGTTTGGTAGCCAAATTTAGCCAGTTAAAGCTGGACTGACACATTTTATCTGCCACTTATGGCCAATGGGGAGGTCAATGAAAATGGAACTCTTGCGCATTTCCGGTCCAAGTGCAATTCATTTCCTATGTCCTGCCACAATCTGCAGCTTAACTGTTGCCGTCAGCTTATTGTACGACCTAAAGAAGATGTTCTCAAGCCTTCAAACACATTTGACCTTGTTTCGCTCGGCCAACGCTGCG